TAAAAAAAAAAAAATGCATAAGTTCATAAATGTGTTAATAAATAAATAGTAAATTAAGAATATTGATGACATAAAAGCCTTCAGTTGACTTGTCTTCTTTTTGCCTTCTTTTCCTATCATCAAATGGTTCAATAAGAATGGCTGTAAGTACAGGTTGGAATTAGATCAGAAAAGGATCAAATAGCTTGAATTCAATAATGATTTAATGACAAGAGATAGAAGAAATATTTGTTCTTGTTCTTTTTCTTGCTCTGTAATTTTGTTATAAATAAGGGAGTTGTTTCTCTTATTGAGTAAGTAGAGTAGGTCCAATTCGCTCTATAAAATGATTACCGCAAGTAATTTGCTCCATATACAAATGAATCAATAAACGTTCATAAAATACCCTAACCCAAAACATTCTTTAAAAATTGTACCGAAATATTTATAACAATACTTAGTAGACGCCTTAGACCCATGCCAAATCGTTATCTACCTCACCTCTCTATTAAGTATTGTTACTTGCTGCCCTCCTCATTTAACCCAGCAAGCCCATTTACCCGCTAACACTAGCAAAGATCCCACTAAAAAATTTCACTGGCCAATCAGATTTCAAGATCAGGAACAAACCAAGAAATCGCCCATAACTCAATATTTTGTCTATGAAACCACCTTCTGCGCACTAACAAAAAGTTTTCCTTGCGAAATTTTGGTGCTACTAGAGCCTTTCTAACCTAACTTAATAGTAAAATCTAACCCTAATCTAACAGCGAAATTTGTTTGGCGAAATTTTTTACACTAGGACGGTCCTAGGACAGTTGCAGATCAGTATAGTGTAGACCAAATTTTGGAATCAATGTTATACTGATCTGCTATAATATCAACGGAAAGTATAACGATTCTGTCAGGCAAATACCTGATCTGTAGCACGATCGGGAAAGTTCTTATTTTTCAAAAAATCGTATAAAAAACCATCTTTAGCACTCTTAAAAAATTATATAATTGCTCAACCTCTAACCTTAGCCTATTTTTGTTAACTGCAAATCTGCGTAAAAGCCTGACAAGAATTCATACGTACAGTACGTGCTAATATGGTCGGTGATGCAAAAAGCATTATAAAGTATAATTAACTGCGGTTAAGGAAAATTATTACAATAGTACTCTGTAAAACTGCGAAATGTTCGGGCGAAAAACTGGTTATCTAACACAATCATACCAATTAGCGAAGTATAAATTGTAGCATAATTATGCCACATTTATTTAATATGACTAATTAAGCTACTACATTGTATATCTAGACAGCAATAAATCACGGAATCCCATATTTTTTATAAATATTTTCAAAAAAAAAAGAAAAAAAAAAAAAAAGAAACGCAATTGCTAATCATATTGTAATGATAAAACAAAACGGATTTACAATAATATTTCTGCCACTAGTTAGAATAAGGCAAATTGTAAAATGTCCAATAAATGAAAAATAAGTCACTTGTAAACAAAAGTCTAATCCAACAGGATCTTTATCATGTCAAACGACACTTCGATATTTTCTAATGAAGTTCTTAAGTTCTACCTGATTATGAATTAAACAAAGATTTAATGGAATTACGTTAACATCGAAAAATGCTGCAAAATAAAAATTTTCTCATAACAAATACCTGAAATATATAACTTTAACTTCGTGGGCTTCGACTCCTACGACGATCATAGACTCTATCATCTTCGTACCTTCTTTTTCGGTCATAATTCTCTAATCTTTTGTCGTCATAACTACCACGGCGATCATAGTCCCTTTCTGCCCTACGTTCACGGCTTGGAGTTCTGTACCTTCTATGTCGTTGATGTTCACGATCATAATCTCTGAGTCTATCACGTTCCCGACGATCATAATCATGATCACGGTACCGTCTTGTTCTTGAGGAACCTCTATCAGGGCTACGGCTGCGAGTACGAGTACGGCTACGATACTCCCCTCCTTCATCATTTCGTCTCATAGAATGTTCCAATGATACTCTAGGATCCAGATCATATGATGGAGATTCTCTCCTTAATTAAGAGAAGTCATAGGAAATTTACATTAGCAATGAATTGAATGAATATTTTATATGTATTCGAAAAAACGTTCTCTTTCGTTTTCTACCTCATTCCCCAGGAATCAACATTTTAAAATCCAGTCGCTTTTATATGCATATATGGGTTATAAAGCCAAAAGGCGCAACCTAAACACAAAAACAATTCAAGCATTGACCGGAAGTACTAAAATTCAATGCCTACCTTGGCAAAGGAGGTGGTTGTAACCTTTCTTTGAGTTTTTGATCGATATCACGAGCAATAGGTACAGGAATACGAGGTAAAATAGTACCAAGCCATTTTTGTTCAGTTAACAATTGGCGGCACATTTTACCAATAGTTCTGATTTCAAAAATATGTTATTAGAAACATATGCCTTTAGATCCCAACTGTAAGAAATAATCACCACACAACCATGAACAGACTCACGATGAATAGTCGGAGTATACGAATATACTTCATAGAACATACATACATTGAGACCGGCCGTGGACCACCTTGAATTTGTACTTGTTCTTCATCCTCCAAGTATTCATCAAACCATTCCCATAAGTTTGCTGGTTTGCAAACATAACGAAGATATAAAAATCCTAAAGCTCTAATGTGTCTATTAAATTTATGATTTTTAAGAAAATTATTAGTTTAACGTCAAGAAAAAGAAAAGATACAAAATTTAAAATGTACATATACATACGGAGAATCAGTATGCTCAATTAAACCAGTCACCTGCTTGACAGTTAATCGAAGAGTCCAAAGTTTATATAGTAAGCAAAATGCTGTCGACGCCGTTGTCCCTTTAAGGAAAGGCTCTATAAAAAAAAATCAAATAATAGTACAGGAGCTTTTACACGTAAAGAAACTAGAACAAAAGCATTTAAAAATTTGGGTTACCAAGCGACTCGACTAATATCGAAAGCAAAGAAAAGCGAATACATTAACGTTACAATCCAAATATGGAAATCAATGAGAAATAAGAAAGTTCTTACCGTGGTTATATATTTCATCAATCACTTCGTGATACGTTTTCAACTCACTATGTATAGTCATGAAGAGCTTAGGATCAGACACTTGAAAACAAATGTTCTAAAAATTATCCAGCTGAGACGACATACTCACTATAATTGCTTGAAATAAGGTGAGGCTTGAATATTCTGATAAAGAATATTATTTAAGTTCATTGTAGTTTCGTTGCCCCAGGTTTCCAACTTGTTTGACTGTTTCATTTTTGTTCAAGGTTCTCTCGTTATATATTTAAAGTTATTCACTATCGACTTTTACTCCCTACTTTGATAATAACGAAGTGTATATAACGATAATAACGATAAATGATTGCAAACTCCCAAGGCGATCGTCATATTTAGTCAAAAAAAAAAAATCACGTGATGGATCGAATTAATGAAACGTCAAGAATTAACATGATTTTGGAAAATATCGATATCGTTATAATGAAGTCACCAGGCTGATAAAAATCTTATATTAATTCTTATATTTATAATGCAGTATAGTTCCGAAAATAAGCATCGCCCATCTATTCTATTTTTTAAATTTAGATTGAACTATTGCTATGTGACATATATCAATATTATGTATCAGTTACACGATTTGCACATGTAAAATTTTTTTTTTATTCAGATACCTTGTCAGAAGCTTTTAGCGAGGACTGGTAATTGTAGTCGATTCTTAATTGAGTACCGTAGCGCACTAGGGTGTTTTATGTGCGTGATCTTTTTTAAAATCAGCGGTAGCGTAGATAGTAAACAAAATTTAATTTCAATAACTCTTGAACAAGCAAACCCATAAATAAAATTATATTTGTCGGATTCATTTTAGTGCGCTACGTCTTTTTATTGTTTGGAGCTGCAAAAATTACCCGTGCGATTTTTGAATTTTTGGGGCTATAAAAACAGTGGTGCTTGACCCAAAATTTAGTATG